GGGGGGGGGGGATACGTGCCATGTACGAGTAGCCGAACGAAAAATTCCATCACTGCAACTGATGACAAGGACAAGTAGAAGGTGATCGTTGTTGTTTGGTCAACAACAACACGACGACCGACAGAGGAAGCACGATGCTTTCAAAAAGAAGGCACAGATAAAATCACAAACATTTGTAGGGCGTCCGCCAGTTCAAAGCACAACACAACGCGCATCTGTACACCAAAACACACAACGAAACAAACTATTCCACCGCACCACAGCAGTCAGTCCTCTGATCATGAACCAAGTTTCCACCAACAGCCTCCCACAAACCGAACCCCCCCGCCCCCCCCCCTCCTTTTTCAACCCTCCACAGACCACGAACAGCTCAACGTACCGATGTTGCAGTTCCCGAACGAGATCTCTCGAGGCACCACCGACAGCACCGAGGTGCACACCATGGCTCGTCCCGCGATGTTCTTGGAGAACTGCCGGACGTCCGACCCCACGCTGGGCTTTCGCCGCAACATCCCCCGCGAGTGCGCGAAGCCCTCGACATCCACCGCGTCTCCCCCTAGCAGCGCTGGAACCACGAACATTGATGGACAGAGGTGGTGGTAGGAACGACGAGGCGGGGGGAATGGGCGGGGGGGTTCCGCGTGATGATGAAGGGGGTACGCTGCGGGAGGACACCTTGCACACTTTTACGGGGCCTCACGGACCCCAACAATAACAGGGTCTCCGACCAAGCAGCCGTCCGTGTGGGTTGTCTACTCCCCCACTTCATCCATTGGTCGTGTACCAATGCGGTAATCAAAAACGAACACGACGGTTTAGACGGGGAGAGGCGCAATGCTGCTAGCGTGCAAGCCGCAGCAGGGTTGCGACGCCTGGGCAAACAGGGGCTCAATCGGCGTCCGCTGCGATGGACATACAACGCCGGGGGGCTGGCTGCCATCTCAGCCGCGATGGAACAAGTCGCCACCTCGCACCGCACGCGTCGAAAGCCGACCGGGATCTCTCGAGACATGGTCAGTCTCCTTCAGTGGAGCACGAGCCGCTTCGCCAACGCTCGTCCCAATCGAACGCGCCCGGCTACCCAGCTTGTTGATCCCCGCCCATCACAAGAAAAAGAGGGCAAGGCAAGGCCAACGGCTCGTTCCAATCGAACGCAACCGGCTGCCATCTTGTTGATCCCCGACCATAAAAAATTAAATAACAAGAGGGTGTGACCAAGGGTTCATGATCGAAACCAGCACGACGACTACCGTTGGTGGCATTGCACAAGATAACACACCCCCTGGACCGATTTTCAAAGCTCAGTATTCTCCACAGCAGAAGAAAGAGTAGCAGCGCGGGAAACGGCGGCATTGAAGCCATCCTCGTCAACAGCTTTCCGAAAATGTATCGTTTCATTTTGTGCAGCAACCTCTTCGTCGTGGAGCTTTGAAAATCGGTCCAGGGTGTGTGGTATCTTGCGTCACACACAGCAGTTGCGACGAGAGTCCAGCAACAGAAACGCACTACTCTATTGATGCGTAACATATGCAATGTCTTACTGTTTTATTTCGTTAGGCCACGGCCATGAGCTGGTGGCTTTGCTTGCAGAGTCTTCTCCTGTTGCTCGTGGGCTGTTGTGATAACGTGGGGATGCGACCAGCCGACGTGCAACGGACAGCACGCATGCGGTTTAGTCATCAATTTTTCCGGGCCAAGTCTCACCGTCGTCCCACTGCCCTCGAGGCTCCTGGCACGCGAAGAACAGCTTGAAGGCCTGCTTCGTGAGCTTGGTGCCGTGGGCATCGTCCGCGTTCCTCGCCATCCTCGCACACCCTCTCTCCTGGGACGACACCGTCCTCTTCAACGGGGTGGCGGCACCGCTGCTAGCGCCAGCTGCTGCTGCTAGGAGGGGCGGTGGGGCGACCATGTTCGGGTTTAATGTGGAGGAGCAGTAGAGCAACGATCAGCGAGCTTTCGGTACCGCCACTATTATAGCGCCAGCTGGTGCTGCTCGGAGGGGGGGGGGGGGGGGGACAACAGTTTCCTTGGTTCAGGTAAAGGAAAAGTACAACCACTTAA